TCCTACCGCTCAGCTGACTCTCCTCGACCTTGATCATCCCTGGTAGGGACCGTCCTCCCAAATTCCCCCCGACTGAAGAGCTCCCGACTGCTGCAGGCGGCGGGCCATTGCCGGAGTGAGATTGTTCACGTCCTCCTGGTAGATCGGGTAGCGAGGCGGAGGGTATCCCTCTTGGTACTGAGCTCCCGGATGTTGGCGAGTCAGTCGAGTGATGTAGAGGGACTTTTGGTCCTTCTGTTCCTGGCGCTTCTGTGCCTTTTCCCTTCCCAGAGGGGTTGGCTCGTCCACCAGGGTCCGGTTGCAGTCCAGACACTTCTCCATGATCTTGAAGGCATTGGTTCCCGCTCGGCTGATGTTCCGATGCGGGCAGCGTCGGGGTAGTGGTGGTACCTGCGGTGTGGTGGACGACGATGGGGCTCCCCTCCTCATAGGTTGTGGTGAAGGCTCCTCCAGGTGATCGAGATCCGGACGGAGTGGTTGCCGATTGCACCACTGGAAGGTGGAGCACTGTCCTTGTCGATCCATCGGGCACCTCCAGAAGAGACGGCGGTTGTTCTTCGCCGTGTGACTCAGGAATAGTCGGCATAGGCGTCCGTGACCGCATTTGGGCGGCGGTCCAACGATCTCCTTCATCTCCTCGAGCAGCTGAGTCACATCTCCCTGGGAGGACCCGGGACTGGCTTGAAGGAGCTCTGAATTCAAGCTCATTCTCTCCCATGAGGCTTCGCTGGTGGTCCTGGTCGGAGTTCGGGGCGCAGGTGCTCGTTCTTCTTCCGGATCGGGTAATCGATGGCGAGGAGGATGTAGGTCGCGGGCCTCCGTCGGCCGCTTCATCAGGTTCTCGAGCAACACGTTGAGCCCTTGCATGACATAGAGCAACTTCCGAAGTAGGCGGTTCCATCCCCAGAGAGAGGGAAAGTGGGCCTCCTCTCGTGGTCCTCGAGGTCGCTTCAGCTCCGGCATGGCTTCCATGAGAGGGGGATTGCTTCGGAGGTTCACGCTCGTTGTCAGGGGCTCCGGTTTTGGTCTGTGAAAAACTGTCTGCGGCGGGATCATGTGATTGTTCCGTCTTGAGTACCTCAAATTCTTGGTTGTTGCCGCAGTTGACCTCTTGACTGAGAGATTCCAATTGACCGGGGGTGAACTCACACAACGGAATCCGAAGGGCACCGGTAGGTCCTAGGTGACATTTAACCGTAAACCCTTGCTTCCTGAACCGCACCCGGAGTCCTGTCTCATTATCGAGGTAGATCACCGCCCTACACGAGATGAGGAAGGGCAGGCTGATCAAGAAGGGGGCGGCCACACTCTCGGGGTTGTCGAAGACGGCCGGCATGAAGTATGAGCCCTTCTGTCCAATGCTTGTCGGAACTGCTGCGACGACTTGGGTGCTCGAGATCCCATGGACGCTCTTGAAACGGTGGGTCTGATCCTTGGTCCTGACTGGGAGTCCAGGAGGGAGACGTTGAGCGAGTCGTTCAAGGGTCTGCCGGCCCACTACCATTCGTTGGCAACCGGTGTCGATGGTTGCGCAACATTCATCGGGATACGGGTTCGATCGGACGGGTTCGGAAACAAGTTTCGGACTTTCCCCATACATAACCCCAAAAATATCGTGATCACTACTGGAGCCACCTTCCCAAGGGTCACCCTGGAGTTCGGCCATATATGCACTCTCGACGTGAGGTGCCATCAGGCGTCGATCACTAGATCCCGGGCCGCCATGACCCGGGACATCTGCGGAGATTTCATCGCTCAGGCGTTCACCTCCAGGGAGAAAAGCACCCTCACCCGGGTGCTCCTCAAGGTGGCTGCAGAAGATGGCCTCTTCCAACACATGGGCCTCCTTCGGGGCTCCACGATCTCGGTCCTTGTCAGGGCATTCCTTGTGCCAGTGACCGGGTTTCCGACAGATGGCGCACTTGGTGACCTTCTTCAACTCCTCCACGGTCGTGCGGTAGTTCCCTTCCTTGAAGGGAGCATTGTGCCCCACCATCGTGAAGCTCTTGGTCTTGCCCTTGAAGGTGTTGGAATACCCTCTCGACAGCTCCTTCGCCTTCTTGGCCTTGAGGGTCTGCATGTAGGTCTTCTTCTTCTGCTGCAAGATGGTGCTCAGCACCTCCGCGGCCTCGTGTTCTTCGAGAACACTTCCATCACCGTCTTCTCCATCGTGTCCTTCTTCGTCTTCACCTTGGAGGTCTTGAAGCGCCTCCTCCACGGCATAGATCTCGTCATCCTCCGGGTCATTGGGCTCGGCATTGATGTAGTGGGCAGCAGCGGAGGATGTCATCCGAGAACTCGTGGTCATAGTTCCCTTCTTTTCCTTTTCAATCCCGACCTGCGAGGCCTGGAGCTTCGTCTCGTGCTTGCGGATCCATTCCCGGATGTCTCCAGGTTTGATGGACCCTCGAGAGTAGTTGAGGAGCGACTTGATGTCGGCATCGGAGAGCACCAAGGCGTTGATGAGCAAGAAACCAACGTACCGTTCGGGAAGAACGACGGAGTGCTCAGTCACCTTCCTCATTGCCACGTCCCAGCGGCTGAAGAAGGCTCGAAAGTGCTCATCCTTGCCTCGGCGAAGATGGAAGGTGATCTTCGCCAAGGCGGCCAACAGGTCCTCCTCGCGGTCCTCACCGAAGTTCTCGGGGAGCTCCATGAGGGCGATCAACTCATCGCCATTGCCATCGCTGGTCATCCACGCCCGATCCCGGGCGAGATATTTCATGGTCTCGAAGGGGGTCTTCGTCAACTTCTGAAGGAGTAGCGGCCCTCGTGCACGGGGACGGGCCTTGGTGGTAGCAAGCCACAACCTGGCCTTGATGGCATAGTCCTGAAAGGCCAAGGATTCGCCATCCCACTCTGGCGGTGGCCCATTGCTTCCAAAGCTGCTACCACCGTCGCCCAAGTCACTCTCGGCACTCCTGGTCGAGCTGCCATGGCGCCGCCGGTGTTGGCGGTGTGGATACCGGGCTCGAAGAAATGCCCGGAACTCATCACTGTCAAAGGCCTCTTCGGCCAGTTCCTCTTCACCCAAGTCACCAGGGCGTGGCAGCCCTTCGTCAAACTCATGGCCTTCCGGCCTTGACGAACCATCGGCTGCTGTCGCAGCCGCAACCGGGGGCATGGCTCAAAGCGAACCACCAACCAGGGACAACCCCAAAACACCCCAAACAAAACCGACCAACCGAGCCAGGTCCAAGGGCCGAACCTGGCTCCGCTACCACTGTGGGCAGCAAGACCTTTTCACATGTGCATTGTCCCCTGCACATAGGGCCGCGTCGGGCCACCTCGAGAGTTAAACATTTCGGAATCGTGATTTCATCCAAAGCGACATGCTATTCACAATATAATATATAGGTTCTCCTGATTATTTGCAACCTATGACCCTAGCAGTGACCCTAGCCCTATGCCCTGGCCCTATGACCCTATGGCCTATGAGGCCAGTATGAAAATATCAGCCGAGGGACCTATCCTTGGGAACTTCCTTGCCACCTTTCTCAAATGGCAGGCAAAAGCCCCATACCTGTTCAAATATTCCTCGCTGTGGTTCATACCGCGCATAAAGGTCAATGACCCTTTGCATGGTGACATCAAACAAGTAGTGCGTGGTAGGCCCTCCATTCGCGAAACGTTTGTTTCTTTGTGTAGAGAATGGGTCACATGGTGACCCAGTCATGAGGATGTCAACCTCTAGACCCCGTTGTCGCAAGACCTCATCTGGATCACATGCCAAAACATCACCCATCAAAGAAGCAGCGCAGGTAGCACAGGGTTTGCCAGTACGGATCTGGTCTTCGATGGATTCAAAAAAGTGGTCAATGCGTCCAGGGTAGTTCGCTTCACAAAAATCCCTGTAGCTCTTGCTAATTTCAGAGGCAGAGAGTATGGTAAAGTCCACGCCCAACGCCTCCCGTGGCACAGCGCTATGAGTCTAGACTAGACTAGACTATACACTTCTCTAGAGCCCAGAGATGCCCAGAGTGTAGTGTAGAGTCTAGAGTGACAATTGAAACTCTGCCTGACTACACTTACCTACCATTTACACTCTGTTCATGTCCAACATACAGTCTAAGACTCTAAGAATCTAGAATGTTGAATGTAGAACTCCGATTGAGCAACTGTTGGCCATAAATCCTGTTTCCTGAGACCATCCAAGACCTATAGTTACTATAGTTGGAATCTCATGGTGTCATGCATCGTGCCCCCCATACCCCACGCCTTCAGAACAGCTGCTTCCGCAGAGCAGCCCGTGCATCCGCTGATCACCCTAAGCGGGCTGCTGCGCTTTCGTGGCCACGAAAGCTGCAGACCTGTCACGGCCTTGAATAAGGTTTGAGCCCACCAGGTTGTCAAAAAACGCAACGAAGACCCACTAGTGCTGCTACTACTCGCCTCAGACTCTGACTCGCTTTCTGCTCTCAACCCACATGTTTCCTCCACTTCGTTCTCTTCTTCTTGTGACACCTGAATCTCTTTCTGAAAAGCCTCGTCCCAATCATCATCTTCAGAAAGTGTGTGTTCTAAAGCCTCTGTGAATGATTTTTCTGAACTTGTGTCTGGCGGGATTGATTGAGCAGCATCGGACTTGTCAGGTGGCTGCTGAGCAACACCGTGGTTGTGGAACAACTGATCCCACTCGTCTTCCATGGCCTCACCCCAACATTCTACACTGCTTGGTGTGAGCGCCTGAACCAAGAGCAGCGATTGTTAGTGGTGGAACGCCTTAGAATCAGCCTTAGAAAGTGATAATTCCAATGATAATGTTCATGAAAACCAAAATGAAAAACAAATTGGCTCACCAAAACATATGATAATTCCAGAGATAATATCGGTTATAACCAAAATGATAAAATATCCCAAAAATAATTAATTTTACAGCCCACAGTCCCAGGCTGCCATTTTTTCATAAGTTTAGACGATGAAGGATGAAGATGAATGGACATGCAGCGGGGATGTGGTAGCAAAGAAAGCAGCAGATTCAAACTTAAACAATTTTGAGGATGTTGTCCTCGGGGAGATTCCTTCCCCGTTTGCCATGGACTCGTAGTGCCTCCATGGTGGCGCGGCATTTTGCTAAGCGAAAGTCATTGTACCCATTTATGGCAAAGCCAGCCACAGTCTTTGACTTCGGTCTTTCTCCGGACGACGAGCAGCGAGCTGCCGAATTGCACAAGACAATTCAGGTCTACGATGGTCTGATTGAGTGCACCTGGTATCCAGGTATTGTGGAGAATATCTTAGCAGGGGGACCGCAGGTTGGAGGCAGTCTTTCTCTTGGAAATGCCGGTCTTGAGCGATTTCTGGGTGAGAAGGAGCACATGGATGCGGTGCCTGAGAAGTTTTGGACCTACGAAACATTGGTACGGGACCTGGCCTATATCCGGGCTGCGTGCCATGAAAGCGCCGGCAAAGTGCATTTCTGTACATCGGCTGCTGAACTGGAGGCGGCCTACTCAGTTGGCGCTGTAGCCTTGAGCGCAGATGTGCAGAATTCAAATTTCATTGGTTCTGACTTTGATCGCTTGGAAACAGTGTACTGGCTCGGGCTGCGCCGGATTCAGTTGACTTACAACGATGCAAATTCGGCCGGCTTTGGCTGTATGGAAGAATCTGACGGCGGCTTGACTAAGTGGGGCGAGCGGTTGGTGGGTGCCATGAACGACTTGGGCATGATTGTGGACACTGGGCACTGCAAACCGCAGACTGTCATTGACGCGGCCAAAGCATCCAGAAAACCCATGACCTGTTCACACGCTGGCTTAGTGTCCATTTGCCCTGGGAATCCCCGCACACAGACAGAGGAAGCGATCAAGGAAGTGGCTAAGACGGGAGGTGTTTTTGGCTTAGTTGCTGCTCCTATGGCCGTAAACAACAGTGACTGTTGCACAGTCGATGACCTCGTGAACAACATTGATGCAGCTGTAAAGGTGATTGGTGAAGACCATGTGGGCTTTGGTTCTGATTTTCTCATAGCCGCTTCCATGGAGGAGGTTTTACGCGCGCCGGAATGGGATGCAGAGAGGGCTGGAGCAGTGAACACCAGTGGATTGGTGTGGCCCTTCTCAGATGGTCACGTTGGCTTCGAAAACAACAGTGGGTACAGAAATTTGACGCGTGGACTTGTTGCAAAAGGCTACTCCGATGAGTCCATCCGCAAGATCATGGGAGGCAATTTTCTGCGAGTTTTCAAAGACGTCGTGGGTTGAATGAAGATGTTAACCTTGGACCTTGCCCGGCAGCTTGCCTGGAACATTTTTGTACATGTCCTCAGGCTCGGACCGGAAAGTCGTTGAATTGTGGAAGACCAGTGTCATTTTTGAAAAGAGTGTAGATGCGAGTGCAAAGCTCATACGTACACAGAGAGTTCCCATACATACATTTGTCTCATTTCAACATTTTGTGCTCTGTAGCCTGCAGCTTGCAACCTCAAGCCACCAACTCGGCATCCTCCTGCATTGCTTTGCCGGAGCAGGACTGGTTGTGATGGCTGGAAACTGCTGCTGTCAACTTGTTCAGTTATTTTTTTCAGTGGCAACTGTTCTTCCAAAGCGTGCAATGACTAATGTAGTAAAGAGCGGTCGTGAATATCAGGAATTGGGCTAGAACCTCCAAACGCGTTAGGCCCGCAAAAGCGACAACCATATTTCCGCAGTTTTGGATATGTTCGGCAGCAGCTATGTTAACATTGTGGCTAAATCATGCAAAAGAAAAAGGACCCCCTCAAAAGCGATAACCTTGCTGAATCATGTCCTCTACTCGAAAGCACGTTTTCGCAGAGGCTCATGATTATTGGCCACAGGACTCAGGAGCTATGGCACGCAGCTCTATTCTGCCTCTCCTTTT